CGATATCAAGGCACGAAAGGCACGATTTGAGGCGCGATATCAAGGCACGAAAGGCACGATTTGAGGCGCGATATCAAGGCACGAAAGGCGCGATTTGAGGCGCGATATCAAGGCACGAAAGGCGCGATTTCAGGCACCAAGGGCACGATTTGCCGTACGTGATGATCACAAAAATTTCGAGTGTGCAATTGAACATCCCGATTTTTCGTGGAGGCAGTCGAGGTTTTTCCTTCTTATCTTATGGTTTAACTTATTTGTGTTAAAATACACTGGAGCAGTCGAAACCTTGATAATGTAGCTTCTCTTTTTTGTAAAATATAAGTTGTTCGGGGATAAAATGAGTGAGATACGGCAAAAACCAAACTCTTTTGTGACTAAAAATTTGCAAGCATCGTCTGTACACCAACACCGTGCACAGGGCCATTTAGAATAATAATCTGTTTTGTTTATTTCTAATTGCTGTTGATCTTGGCTGTTCTGATCAACAAATCAAACGATACACCGAGCAATCTGTTTAGATTTAACAGATCAACTGTTAATGAATCTCTTAGTAAGTGCTTGATATGTTAAGGCTTTAGATTGATCTATTTGCTATAAATGATCGCCATGGGTATGATCAGCTTCTTGGTAGATATTTTTGTTGTAACAATAATTTCAAGATTTTTTTTTTTCAAATTAAGCTTGAATTTATATAATTTTAGCTTAATTATTTTATTTATTGCTATTTAATTAATATCTGGCAAGTTCCAGGGGGGGAAGCAATAACCTGAAACAACCTCTTGGCTGAGATCAAACCCTGAAACAACCTCTGCCAGGCTGATCTAAGTCAGGGCACGGCTAACTCACAGATTGAACCCTGAAACAACCTCTGGGCTGATCTAAGTCAGGGCATGGCTAACTCACAGATGAAACCTTAAAACAACTTCTGGTCTGATCTAAGCCAGGGCACGGCTAACTCACAGATWGAACCCTGAAACAACCTCTGGGCTGATCTAAGTCAGGGCATGGCTAATTCACAGATAGAACCCTGAAACAACTTCTGGGCTGACCTAAGTCAGGGCACGGCTAGCTCACAGAACAAACCCTGAAACAACCTCTGGGCTGATCTATGTCAGGCCATGGCTAACTCACAGAACAAACCCTGAAACAACCTCTGGGCTTATCTAAGTCGGGGCATGACTAACTCACAGATCGAATCAAAATTAGAGTGTAAGGTTTTGCAGAGGGAGGAAGACTGAAGAATCTGAAGACAAACGAGAAACCCTCGAATCAAGGGAGAGATCTAAGAAACTCTACTCACATGTAATGCCAAATCTGGAATTCAAACTCAAGATCCCAGAGAAGAGAAGTGATTACACTACCGTTTACACCCCTCCTGATCGCAAGTACTCATAAAGAAGTGTAACATAGTGTACAGTAAACCATAATTGTATTGTATATCTATTATTACAGCCAGCACATTCGTTAGTATGGGCAGATCCTCCATTACTCTGTACCAAGTCCACTCCACCCAACCCAAAATATGAAGATAAAGCAGTTGCTGCTTATAGAGGAAACTGTTCTTTCTATGAGAAGGGAATGAATGCAGGAAAAGCAGTGGAGGTCATTGTAATTAATAATCAAAACACTCTTGTAAGTGACTATCATGACGGATCTTATTTTCTCTTTTCCTGATTTGAATTACATGTATGTCCAATTCACCTGTAATGCATTTGAGAAAACATTAAATATATGGGATTGAATTAAATTTAATCAAAACATGTTAATTTTCAAGGGAATAAAATTAAACTCTAAGTTATAGACTGATTGCAATATAATGGCCACCATAACATCGATAGTATGTTTGTAATGTCTATTTTATTTATCAAGTCAGTATGTTGTAGACATTCATTACCTTAAAAAATATGTTTCTATCAGTTTGTTCCGGCTGGAAATGAGTCTGCAGGAGAGTATGACAATCTACATATACCAATAGTAGTAATGAAGAGAGATGACGGCACACTCATAAAGGTATTATGATAAAGGACTAAATGTCAAAACTGTACTATAGTTACAGTGTACAGGCTTTATTACATACCAGTGCTGGACCTTATCTTTGAATCATCTCTGGCCCTTGGGATAGTAGAGCTGAGAAGTTACTAGCCAAAGGATTATCCTTAGTAGTACAGTTTATCAATTAATTGCATCATCACTACATATATAATCCCATATAAGCAACTATCGTTGTATAATAATTTGATTGATGTTTTTCTGTTAACTGTGTTACTGTGATTCCAAGTCACACATGACCAACTATACCTTCATGATCAAAAACAAAAAATTGAATTTGGGTGGACGTCAATCAAAAGGATTTCTATCGTTTCTATTGGTTTCTACACCAGGACTGATGTGAATACTCACGTGAACATGTGCAAATGTGCAAAAAT